ACCCTAGAACTAAGCACATTGACGTGAAGTATCATCTACTAAGGGACAAGCCAATCTACAACAGCAAGCCATCATCAACATTTAACATTGCTCATTAGAAGAAATTACTGCGCACCAACTCACCAAGCTATTGCCAAAGGATCGTTACAGTTTCCTTCGAGAGAAGCTGAACATCATATAGCAATGCATTTGCTGTTGAGAAGGGGTGTTGGAAATACAACAGCATATACTAATGTACTGAAATGCCTTTTGAGCTGTAGATGGGACTGTGGTGCAATGCTAGTCTCTATGTGCATATACTAATGATAGTATAAAGCAGAAGTCTATTTTGCATATGGGGTGAAGAGGTAAGAGTGCGGTACCACGCCCGTGCCAATTACAATATGACAACATATAGCATCAAATGGGGCTCTTTATGTGCCAGAAACCTTTTGCAAACGCATGTCTGAATAAAATATTATTTTATTAATCCATATTAAAACATTTTCTTAAAAACAACTGCCATTTCCAACTGCAGTATGCATTACAGCTTACCAAGATGTTAGTGTACTCCTCCTCAAATCCTATTCAGGCACCCACATGGATATCTTTCCCGTGGATATCCTAGTAGAAAGCCATATACAGGCAGTCCCCAGGTTACAGACGTCCGACTTACGGACAATCCGTACTTACGAACCAGGGTCCATAGTTTTCCTAAATGTCCCGGCAGCTGCCGGTACATTTAGGAGAACTGTGGCTGCAGCGGCCTGTGGCCCTTCAAATCCCCGCTGTTCTCCACGCCTGTGTTGGTGGAGGCAGCGGGGACACAAACCGCTGCATTCCTATCTGCCCCCCGTACCTCCGCTGATGTCCCTGCGTCCTCTTCCCATGGTCCGTCTTCTTCTCTTCCCCAGTCCGGCCGATTCTCCGCTCTGACGCTCCCGCCTTGGCTCATTTGCCCCGCCCCCCTGCCTCCTCTACGTCTGCAGGCTGGGAGCCATACCCAGCCTGCTATTGGATATTGTCAAATGCAATAGCCAATAGCAAGCTGGCTATTGCACCCGCCCACTGCCTGCTGTCAATCAGCATGGGAGGACCTGATAGAGAACTTTCTCCTTCAGGCTTCTCCTCTGCTGATTGACAGCAGGCAGTGGGCAGATGAAATAGCCAGCCTGCTTTTGGCTATTGCAATTTGAAATATCCAATGGCAGGCTGGCTATTGCTCCCAGCATTAAAATAAAAAAGTTAAAAAGTATAAAAAAATTAAATTAAATTAAAAAGACAAAAAATGTTTTAAAAAAGGTTAAATAAATAAAAATTACAAATGCAAAAAAATTAATTAGGTATATAAAATAAAATTTAAAATAGAAAAAAAACTTTTTTTGGTGTGTCATTTTGAATACATTTAAAAAAAAATTATATTATAATCTTCTGAACAACCGGAACAGGCAGCAAAACAAATGTGACCCTTCCCTATGCTATCCAAAACTAAAAAATGTTTTTTTGGCTGGAGTTACACTTACAAATTGTACCTGTTCCGACTTACATACAAATTCAACTTAAGTACAAACCTAAAGTCCCTATCTTGTATGTAACCCGGGGACTGCCTGTATAACACAGTGGATTAACCATGCAAGTATCAATAGTCAAAGCCTGAAGCCCTTCGTCTGGTCTGCCATCGACCACCAGCTGTATCTGGTGTCCTGTTTTCCACATCAGCACATCCAGTGTGTCCAGCAGTCACTCGTGCCCCTCTCTGTCTGTATAACTACTGTTCCATCTCCAGTGGGGCACAGACGAGAGCAGCAAGGGAAGGCCTTCCTCGTCACTTCAGGCTCATACCAAGGTACGTGACACTTAGCTATGAGCCATGATTGGGCAAAGTCATCATTACTTTGACCAATCATGGCTCTAAATGAGTACTGATCCCTGATTGGGCAAAGTCTTGCACCTGACCTGTGGTCAGGTGTAAGACTTTAACCAATTAGAGCTTCAGAGGCCGCATTGCCCGGTCGAACAGACCGCGAACATCCCACAAAGTTCGGCATTCTGCGAACGCTCGAACAGGTAATGTTCGAATCGAACTTACGTTCGACCCGAACCGGCAGCCCATCCTTAGTCAAGAAGCAATATGAATTCACCAGCTTTAATTGGTTGTGGGTATAGAAATGTCAAACCCCATCCCGATCTTTGAAGACAACCAGGGATGTATAAAGCTGACACGATCAGAAAGGGTCAACCCTAGAACTAAGCACATTGACGTGAAGTATCATCTACTAAGGGACAAGCCAATCTACAACAGCAAGCCATCATCAACATTTAACATTGCTCATTAGAAGAAATTACTGCGCACCAACTCACCAAGCTATTGCCAAAGGATCGTTACAGTTTCCTTCGAGAGAAGCTGAACATCATATAGCAATGCATTTGCTGTTGAGAAGGGGTGTTGGAAATACAACAGCATATACTAATGTACTGAAATGCCTTTTGAGCTGTAGATGGGACTGTGGTGCAATGCTAGTCTCTATGTGCATATACTAATGATAGTATAAAGCAGAAGTCTATTTTGCATATGGGGTGAAGAGGTAAGAGTGCGGTACCACGCCCGTGCCAATTACAATATGACAACATATAGCATCAAATGGGGCTCTTTATGTGCCAGAAACCTTTTGCAAACGCATGTCTGAATAAAATATTATTTTATTAATCCATATTAAAACATTTTCTTAAAAACAACTGCCATTTCCAACTGCAGTATGCATTACAGCTTACCAAGATGTTAGTGTACTCCTCCTCAAATCCTATTCAGGCACCCACATGGATATCTTTCCCGTGGATATCCTAGTAGAAAGCCATATACAGGCAGTCCCCAGGTTACAGACGTCCGACTTACGGACAATCCGTACTTACGAACCAGGGTCCATAGTTTTCCTAAATGTCCCGGCAGCTGCCGGTACATTTAGGAGAACTGTGGCTGCAGCGGCCTGTGGCCCTTCAAATCCCCGCTGTTCTCCACGCCTGTGTTGGTGGAGGCAGCGGGGACACAAACCGCTGCATTCCTATCTGCCCCCCGTACCTCCGCTGATGTCCCTGCGTCCTCTTCCCATGGTCCGTCTTCTTCTCTTCCCCAGTCCGGCCGATTCTCCGCTCTGACGCTCCCGCCTTGGCTCATTTGCCCCGCCCCCCTGCCTCCTCTACTCCGATTCTCCGCTCTGACGCTCCCGCCTTGGCTCATTTGCCCCGCCCCCCTGCCTCCTCTACGTCTGCAGGCTGGGAGCCATACCCAGCCTGCTATTGGATATTGTCAAATGCAATAGCCAATAGCAAGCTGGCTATTGCACCCGCCCACTGCCTGCTGTCAATCAGCATGGGAGGACCTGATAGAGAACTTTCTCCTTCAGGCTTCTCCTCTGCTGATTGACAGCAGGCAGTGGGCAGATGAAATAGCCAGCCTGCTTTTGGCTATTGCAATTTGAAATATCCAATGGCAGGCTGGCTATTGCTCCCAGCATTAAAATAAAAAAGTTAAAAAGTATAAAAAAATTAAATTAAATTAAAAAGACAAAAAATGTTTTAAAAAAGGTTAAATAAATAAAAATTACAAATGCAAAAAAATTAATTAGGTATATAAAATAAAATTTAAAATAGAAAAAAAACTTTTTTTGGTGTGTCATTTTGAATACATTTAAAAAAAAATTATATTATAATCTTCTGAACAACCGGAACAGGCAGCAAAACAAATGTGACCCTTCCCTATGCTATCCAAAACTAAAAAATGTTTTTTTGGCTGGAGTTACACTTACAAATTGTACCTGTTCCGACTTACATACAAATTCAACTTAAGTACAAACCTAAAGTCCCTATCTTGTATGTAACCCGGGGACTGCCTGTATAACACAGTGGATTAACCATGCAAGTATCAATAGTCAAAGCCTGAAGCCCTGATGATTTGGAATCTATATGAGGCAAATTGATTGTAATGTAACAAGGTGGACACATGTACCATTGTTTTTAAGAAAATGTTTTAATTTGGATTAATAAAAGATTATTTTATTGAGACATGTCTTTTTTTCTGTTTTCTTCACAATTCTGTTTTCATATGTGTAATGTTCTTCTAAGCAAGTACAACTTAATTCTGCATTCCTCAACATCCGTAACAGTGCTTCATCTAAACACATAACCAACAAAAACAACAGTAATGAAACCAACCCATAATGTACCAGCAGAATGGAACCCAAAAACATAGTCAGGGCACTGGGCAACACAAAATTGCAGGATTTATAGGGGAAGCAGCCTTGGATTCGAACAGGTGTGTGGCCAGAACCATGCACTATACAGTCATGTGAAAATGAGCACCTTGGCTGAAACCATGTCGAAGCAGTCATGGTGCTAAATCCACATTGATGACAAGTAGGGATGCGCCGATACTAATGACTCGCTTCCCGACTTCCTGATTGTTTGGGAAGCTGGCCAATCAGGAAACCGGACGGCACGTTATTACACGCTCCCCGGCTTTCTGATTGGCCAGAAAGCCGGCTTCCTGCTCCCTCATCACCTGGTGACGAGGGAGCATGGAGCCGGCTTCCCAGCCAATCAGGAGGCCGGGTGGTGAGTCTTTACACACCACCCGGCTTCCTGGCTAATCTGGAAGCCAGGTGGTGAGTCAATATACACTGCCTGGCTCCCTTGATGGGATTTCCGTTATCGGTATTGGTGAGTACCGAAAAAAATTATCGGTACTCGTGCTCAATACCAAAAAACTGGTATCAGTGCATCCCTAATGACAAGACCTTGTTCAGCAGTAAGTTGGAGACTACCATTAGCAGGGTCACAGGAGGCAAGTCAGGCCGTAAAACAGAAAATATTACTGACAGAAATGTTATTTATCCATTGCTCAATCACAGTCAAGGGCAAAGAAACAAGGTCACACTGTGTAATATACTTACTCGGCCGCGCGCCGTGTACGAAGTCCAGTGCCGCCCACGTCCCTGACATCACACCGCTCCTGCCCGGCTGTCAGCTTAAAGCCGGGAAATTTGAAATTTCCCTAGATTACAAAGGACGCCGAGCATTTTCCACTCCACACCATATTCGCTATTAAGAGTCCTTGGGTTCAGGACTCCTCCAGCCTTTGCTGGCAAGCTGCTTCTTTGGACCGTCTTCTGACAAGCTGCCTCTTTGATTCCTCTACTGACAAGCTGGTTCTCTACAAGATGATCTCTCAACTCTAGGAGCCATACTCCACTATGCCAGGACACCTCCTGCTGAATCAGTAAGATCCCTGCAGAATTCCTGGATTGATTAATTCACCAAGACTTCATACAGTGGACACAGCATATCCGATCCTTCTAACAGCAAGTATATCCATCGGACTATTAGTAGATTATTACTAGCCTATAACTCTATTATAATTAGCATACCTCTCTCCTAAAGAGACACTCTACAATTCCTACTCATACCACAGGATTTGTCTTTCTCAATGTAATTTTAGACATTATTGATACCTGTTGTTTCTGTATGAGGTAATACAGATTCCTTAAATTGCACTCAAGTCAATCTCTACTACAACTACCCTGTCTTAAAAGTCAACATTTAACCAAATTGTGAGCAGTTCAACTGCACAGTTGTGATACATTGCTTAAAGGAGAACTATGGGGTCAGGACTTTTCCCCATAGTTCTCCAAAGTATAACGGGAGGACACAAACTAGCGTCCTCACCGTCACCCTAAGCTCAGTATACTGCGATACCGCAGCTGAAGCGGATCCCGACAATTATGTCTGGATCCGCCCAGCTGCGAGAGTGACAGCTGGCTCTGCCTATCTGCCCCATCTGTTCTGCCAGTCAGCACTGGAGGATCGGAGCGGGAAGGGGGGGATCCAGTCCCTTCCTTGTCACGGCTCTCTGCCGTGACAGGATCGAGAAGTGAGGGAACGCCGGTATGTGTTCGCTCACTTCCCGATCTACTGAGCTGACCTGTGGCAGTTTTATTGTCAAAGGTCGGCTAGACTTATGAGGCTGAGTGAAAAGCACTCACCTCATAGTTCTCCTTTAACCTCTGAATGAGCTAATAGTAAAAAAGTTGTGCGTTACATACCGCCATAGAAGAGAGTACAGCAAGGATTGGAAGGACACTCATTCCACCTCCCTAAGATATGCCTGCACAAGACCCAACAGGCTGTTAATGAGCAGCCAAAGCCTTTTTAACCCTTTGATCAGCCACACTGGCGCAGTAGGAGGGAGGCTCAAGAACTCGCAAGTGTGGGTGATGAAGTGTCAAGATCCTTGGACAGTCTCCATGATTACAGCAGGTCTCTTCTGGATCTTTAAGAACAGGCCTCTAAGAAATTCCTTTACTCCTTTGCTATCTTACTCACATAGGGAAGACAACTATTCTATGCCATTATGTATAGGACCCCTCCCCCCCACCCCCCATTACTTTTAGGACAGCCTGAATTCTTCATGACCTGGTGGATTTAGGAAGATACTGGAAGTTGTTCTAGAGATCTGGGTCCATGGTCACACAGTTCCTTCAGATTTCTAACCAACAGATAAACCATGCAGACATAGTCAAGACATGTTGCAAGCCTTCTGTATACCTTATCCCACACATGCTTCATTGGGTCCATGGATAATTAGAATATTCCAAAGTCACTGTTATATTTATGGAACCAGGATGATTTTTGGGTGCTTTGTGACATGGCCAGTTATTCTTTTGGAAACAGCTATTGGAAAAAAAGAATAACAGTAACTAGATAACCATGTATCCCTGGGTGTATATGATCAGTAATAATACTCAAGTATAGGGTGACATTAAGCTTTTAAATGATGCTCATTCCGCATAAAGGGCCCTAATATGTGCTAAAATAGACCACACCATTATACCACCACCAGCAGCCAGGTTTGTATATGACGTTGCATTTGAATAGCATAGCAATGGTCAGACTGACAAGTTGGAAGATGTCATTCATTCACTATTTGAATAGGGCAGTGCAGGGCAACGTCTGACAATTATTACCATATGTTACAGATGCTTCCGTGTCTGGGAAAGATATTGCTGGGATACTCAAGGGATGCCACCTCAGAAATAGGGAGTGATAATGTGCACACCTACTTGGTACTGGCCCCGGACAGGTTTTGGGGACAAGAGGAGGCAGAGGCAGCTCTGAGCCTGACGAAGGGGACCATGTGTGGCCCCGAAAAGACTTGCCAATGAGAGACAGCATCTGTCAATAAATGAGCACCTAATTGCTGTTATTAACGTTGTTGGAGTGCTGGTGACATCTTCCTTTTTGTTCTGCACAGTGTCTCTGTGTGGTGGCAACCATCAGAGCCACCAGTAACAAGAGCAGTACAGTAGTGACAACACTCATTCTCACTCCAAATCTCCTAAGACTAGCAGTCATCGGCAGCAGTGCCATTGATTCACATTGCAGGTATTCAGCTATGAGGTTGTAGGCACAGAAGTACCTCAGAACCCTAACATACCAGAAATTGCACTGCTATTTTTCCAGCGGAATTCTACATAAAAAGGTAAATTTTTCAGGGTATTGCTTAGGCACAAGTAAAAGTTCTACATGTTCTCTATAACACAGTAAACCTTCAAAAGTGTAAGGACTTAAGGTCCCATACTTAAAACATAAATGTTTAAAAACATTTTCAATATTTTATTGTACATCTTATTTAAAAAAAATATATAAAACATAATATCAGTTTCACAGAAGTTAAACATTTAAACATTAATTTCCAATCTCTGCAAAGTTGTAAATTTTTAGACCTCCAACCATCATCTCTTATTCTGCTCAAACAGCGACTCACAAATATTTTTATAACGTTTTCTGCAGCATTCTCAGATTCATTCTATTTTATTATCAATTTGAGAAAAGTTAAGGGCAGGTAGTTCTTAACGCATATCTCAGACTGCTTCCTTAAAATTCGTTGGGAAGGTTACATGATTTGTATATGACAAGATAAAATCAAGCAGTTTCTTTATGGCATTGACTTCTTCCCTACAGAGGAAGGGAAGCTGTAGGGGATTGTGGAGATACATACACACTTGCCACCCAATGTCAACCAATCTCTATTTCATTGACGCAATGGGTGAAATTAATAAAAAGTGTCCGAGACAACAATAGGAACCAGTGAGCTTATATCTTTAATTTTTCCACACAGCTTAGAAAGTCCTTGCATTCTTGGAAGTCACTATGTTAGACTAGAACTACACAAAATATTTTTTATAAGCTCATTTCTGCTACTAAAATCACTAGTGATTAATCACTGAGAGGTTGATAGCTAGACATATTAAAGAAAAGGCAGTAGCAGAGTAGCCCCCTTATCCTTTGCAGTGACCTTAAAGTGAACCATTTGGCACCAAGCTATGAACTGGTGCCCAAAACTGAACTGCATATTCCAGATGAGATCTTACTAATGCTTTGTACAGGGGCAGGATTATGTCTCTATCTCTGGAGTCTAAACCCCTTTTAATACAAGAAAGTATTTTGCTTGCTTGTTTAAATCACTTAGTAGCAAAAAATTCAAACTTGCCACATAGTTTAGCACTTAGAAGTCACTAGTTGCCTTGCTGTCATGCTTATGCTCATGCCTACGGCTTTACTACATAGTCAGCCAAAAACCTGGAACAAGCATGCAGGGCCCCTCTTATTTCACCATCTGCATGCTTGTTCCTAGTCAAATACAAAAAAAGTGAAGCCATAGTAAAGTATTTCCCATATTAAAGTTATGATAGAACATCAATTTAGTAAGAAGAACAGAGAAATATGAATCTGGCATCAGTGATAATCACATACATTTTATTTGTGCTGGAAAAAACACAATACAATTGTTTAGGTTAGACAACATATCACATTTTTTGACATAATTTATTTTGCTGTTTGAAGTCGGTTATCGATCATCCCATTGGATCGTCCATCTACTTTGACTCACGTATAGCTGTATTCACAGACATTCTCAGAGGTCATCAAATGCTAAGGAAAAACAGTGTCAGTATTGGGTATGTTAACTGGCAAGGAGAAAAAAACATTGCACTTACCTTAAAAATAGATAGGAAAGCAAGTATAAAAGATATGTATTACATATATTGAAGGTTACTGCATATGTTTTCATCAAATATGAACAATTCTGGACTCTGTGGGAAAACTCAATTCTATGGGAAAACTGGACTAAATTACAATTGAATGGAATTGATTTTGACAGCCAAGTTTCCATTGTTAATGCAGTTATGTTTGATGTGGACTAGCAACCAAATTGCCCTGTGTGTGGCAAAATCACATAAAGGTGATAGTTAAAGAATATCTAAAGCCATTTAAAAAAAAGATTTGGATAGAGTTGGGAACAGTGGAACTGTAAACCCTTATAAGGTTTGCATTGCTGTCGCTGGCTGTACCAACTGGGGAGATTCACCATCTCTGTTTGTGACCAGGATAGAAAGAAGAATGAAATCCAAAAAAATTACAGTAGTCACTGGGACTAAAACAGAGAGAACATTCGCTGTTGAGAGATGTCCGCTGGTGACATCTGTTCCAGTAAAAGCTGTCTAGGAGAGGATATGCCCTCACTTTTGAGAGATCTCCTCTTTGTTGTGTCTCTTGGACAGGAAATTAAAGAAAATATCCCTAGTGGGACAAACAAATGGCAGAGGTAACCTTTGCCAACTCTACCCAAAACTTTAGATATCCATTGAACTTGACAGAATACCCTAAATTTGGAACAACCACGTAAAGCCTTTGTGTTCTTTTTAATAGATATGGGCTAATTTACAAAGCCATGGTTTATGTGCAGAAAGGAAAATGTTTAAATTGTTATATCACCACATGGTAGCTTATTGATGTAGGAACCCTGCCATAAGCTACTGTGTCCCACATCTAAATTTAGCGCTGGCAGCTAGGCTGTAGCCAGCATGAGCTCTGATTCTTTACATTATCTGGGTTCATTGGGTTTTTCCTAAGCCCAGGACGTTGTTTATTTCTGCCTGCTACTGGGAACTGTTTGCCAGTGGATAAGGGAATAAATATTTAGAGAGACATTCTAGAAGGGTCTTCTCCCTCTCTGGCTATTTTTTTTGATATTTTCATTTTTTAAATTGCTCTGTAGTCATTTTGCTGTGATAGCAGCAAATAATTTTTCCGTGAAGTTGCAAATAGCTTTAGGGGCGTGACTGTGCCAGCGAACACCAGGGCTAAGGAGATACTGTTCAGGACTGGTTGAGATGCAAGACACTATAAACAAATGACAGACCCCCAACATACTCTGTCGTCCCTCCCCTGCCCAACCCCCTAACCCCCCTACAAACACACACACAAAAGATCAAGTCAAGTTAATGAAAATGGTGACTTATGCTAAATGCCTTCCTACCTTGAAAGATGACAATTACGAGTTATTACATAGGTTCCAGTGTAGATCAAGTCACAATGCACAGCATTATTAGTGAAATCTGATTCCAGGACTTGGAAATTGGGGTTCACAGAGACCTGAAATAACAATTTTGATTTGGTTGTAACACATTAACTTTTGTATATAGAGTATTTGTATTTGTAACTTTTGTATTTTGTATAGATACAAGTAGACACAAATATCTTCTCTACTCACTTTGAGTATATACTTTCCTGGGGGAACATCAGTGATATCAATCCACTGACAGTCAATATTGGCATGGTATGTATCATAGCATCCTGGACTAAGCCCCTGGAACACAAGGAAACATTATTACTCTAAATAACATCTTGTATGTAGAGAGTCAACAATTATATTATTTACAGACATCATGCCTTACTATTTAAATGGTATACTGCAAACTACATTTAAAGCTGAATTACCATGAGACTGCTTCCCCATATCCCATCTCTGATTCACGCAGACCAGGCAGGGTTTGTCCCATCCAGAGAGGCCCGGGATAACACCACCCGGGTCCTCAATGTCATACACTCGGCCCTGTCGAAGGCCATACCGAGTTTAATTATGTCCACGGACGCAGAGAAGGCCTTCGACAGGGTTGACTGGTCCTTTCTCCGACTCACGATGGAGCATGTGGGGCTGGGTCCGGGCATGCTGTCATGGGTGATGGCCCTATATTCACGTCCAACGGCCAGAGTTTGCGTGAACGGGATGTTGTCACCCTCATTCCCGATAACCAACGGCACCAGGCAGGGCTGCCCACTTTCACCCCTCATCTTCATATTGTCCGTTCAACCGCCCAACTAATAAGCAAAGGTAAGCTAAATCCTTTTTTAGTCCATGTTCCCATGGTTTGCCAGGTTTTCTTTCTTCTTCACTGTGAAAAGTAAGGTGTCCATGTCACTTCCTGGGTGACGTGGGCACTTCTTATTGGCTCTCCAGCAGTGGGGTCCACTACGGCACAGACTGCACCTCACTTTTCACATAATTTTTTTTAAGCTGCAGATTCCCCAAAATGGTTCTTGGAGCCAGACATCACGAACATTTTCTATCCACCTTGCAGGTCACCTTGGAAATGTCATAATCCCTGCTGTTTGATACCATAAAGCAGGGGTGCCCATTATGTAGATCACAATCTACCAGTAAATCGCAAAGCGAACACTTGTAGATCGCGATCGGCTCACTGACCTGTGTCCTGTCCTCCCGCAGTGCTCGTGCCGCTGAATGTGTCAGACGCCGCAGACGAGAAGGAGAGGAGACTTGGGAAGCTGCTGCAGTGGAGGTAAGAAAAGACAGACAGGAGAGAGACAGCAGAGAAAGTGAGAGAAGAGACAGCAGAGAGAGAGGAGAGAGATAGCAGGGAAAGTGAGAGAAGAGACAGCAGAGAGAGAGAAGAGAGACAGCAGATAGAAACAGGGGAGGGAGAGAGTGCAAGGAGAGAGAGAAGAGAGGTCCGCTTCACACCATAAAGTCTGCGTTCCAGAGTGTTCGGCTTCTAGAACGCATTGGAACGCAAGCTGGCCGGCTTCCTGCGTTCAGGGGCGGGAGCGGGCGTGGTGGTGCATTGAAGTCAATGGCACCACAGCCACGCCCTCAGGCACCTTAATCAGATCAATTGTGCACTATAAGTCCCTGTTATTTCTGTGTTACACACTGACCTCTGCACTATGCGTTACATTACTGACCTCTGTACTGTGCGTCACCTCGCTGACCTCTGCACTGTGTGTCTCACCTCTGACCTTTGTACTCTGCATCACACAGCTTACCTGTGCACTGTGCATCACACCGCTGATCTTTGCACTGTGCATCACACCTCTGACCTCTTCACTGTGACTCACACCACTGATCTCTGTGCCCTGCCTCACACCGCTGACCTCTGCGCCATGCCTCACACCGCTGACCTCTGTGCCCTGCCTCACAATGCTGACCTCTTCCTCACACCGCTGACCTCTGCCTCACACCGCTGACCTCTGCGCTCTGCCTCACGCCGCTGATCTCTGCGTCACACCGCTGACCTCTGCTCTCTGCGTCACACCGCTGACCTCTGCGTCACACCGCTGACCTCTGCGTCACACCGGTGCGCTCTGCGTCACACCGCTGACCTCTGCGTCACACCGCTGACCTCTGCGTCACACCGGTGTGCTCTGCGTCACACCGCTGACCTCTGCTGTCTGCATTACACCTCTGTACTCTGCATTATTACTGATCTCTGTACTCTGTGTTACACAGCTGACCTCTGCACCCTGCATTACACCACTGACCTCTGCACTCTGTGTTACACTACTGCACTCTGCATCACTCCGCTGACCTCTGCCTCACACCGCTGACCTCTGCCTCACACCGCTGACCTCTGCGCTCTGCCTCACACCGCTGACCTCTGTACTCTGCATTATTACTGATCTCTGTACTCTGTTACACAGCTGACCTCTGGACCCTCCATTACACCACTGACCTCTGAATCACACTACTGACCATTGCACTCTGTGTTACACTACTGACCTCTGCATTACAACTGACATCAGGCCGCCACCCCGGAGCAACGCAGACTATGAAGTTTTAGATTTTTCTACATTGCTGTATAATGTTTTGCTGGGATTTGTAGTTCTTTTTAGCTGGTGGTGTTTTGCACTGCTGTATAATAAATTGCTTCATAATGGACCACTGAGATGGATCAGTGTCTTTAGACCCGCTTCTATGCACTTTTCTTTTGGTGCAAAAGCACCCCTCCTGATCCACCATGGAGGTGAGGCTTGTAATTGAAGTCTCCCCTCCACGACAGATTAGAACAGGCACCACCGGGAAAATAGAAGCAAGCCCAGAAATGGTTCCTAAATTAACAAAGGGAAACTAGAGAATGAGGTGATTTGAAGCCTCACCTCTGAGGGGTGGATCAGGAAGAGGGCACCTTAATCAGATCAATTGTGCACTATAAGTCCCTATTATTTCTGTGTTACACACTGACCTCTGCACTATGCGTTACATTACTGACCTCTGTACTGTGCGTCACCTCGCTGACCTCTGCACTGTGTGTCACACCTCTGACCTTTGTACTCTGCATCACACAGCTGACCTGTGCACTGTGCATCACACCGCTGACCTTTGCACTGTGCATCACACCTCGGACCTCTTCACTGTGACTCACATCACTGATCTCTGTGCCCTGCCTCACACCGCTGACCTCTGCGCCCTGCCTCACACCACTGACCTCTGCGCCCTACCTCACACTGCTGACCTCTCCCTCACACCGCTGACCTCTGCGCTCTGCGTCACACCGCTGACCTCTGCGCTCTGCGTCACACCGCTGACCTCTGCGCTCTGCGTCACACCGCTGACCTCTGCGCTCTGCGTCACACCGCTGATCTCTGTACTCTGCATTATTACTGATCTCTTTACTCTGTGTTACACAGCTGACCTCTGCACCCTGCATTACACCACTGACCTCTGCACTCTGTGTTACACTACTGCACTCTGCGTCACTCCGCTGACCTCTGCATCACACCGCTGACCTCTACGCTCTGCATCACACTGCTGACCTCTGCCTCACACCGCTGACTCTGCAAGTAAAAATTTAGATTTTTACTTGCTTGCTGTTCCACATTTGGATTTTATCATATAGAGATTTGTAGATGTTCCCTATAGTGCTCAATATACTTTTTATATGGAAATGCGATGAGCATTCTCTACAAATGAAGATAATGAGGTCACCAATAGTGATGGGTCGAACAGGCCTGAGTTCAGTTCGAATTCGAAATTTAGAACATCCAAAAAGTTCGAACTTGAACTCAATGCAAGTCAATGGGTGTAGAACTTTCAGAAACAATTGTCCCCTTTAAGAGCGCTTATATACAAGTTATTGACCATAAAAGGTATGGGGTTTCCGGGTAGTGCACTAGGGGACAGGAATCAATAAAAAAAAAAACAATTGTTTTTAAAAGGAGCAGTTACATATTATTTGAGGTTGAAAAAAGACACATGTCCATCAAGTTCAACCTTTGTGTGTGTGCGTGTCTCTTGTGCGTCCATGTGTGTCTTGTGCGTGCATGTGTGTATAAGATTCCATGTGTGGTCTAGAATTTAAGTGTACCTTTATCCCTGTATATTACAGTCTATGTACTCTGCAATGTACTTACATCACTTAAAGGGTAAGAATAAAATGAAAAATATAGAACCTGCTGCAGCAAAAAGTGACATTTAAAAAGAAAAAAAAAAATGACATTTCAATTGCCGGTAATTGGTTTTCCTTTAATCCTTTAAACAACTGCTTGGGGAGGCAGCCTGTATGAAGAGGACACATTTTAGGACACTCAGAACAAGGTTAGAGATTTTTTGAATAAATTCTGGTGCCTCTTTTGCAGACGTTGGATGAAAGTAGCAACAGGTGCTTTAAAATTGTGCCTTTAGTGTTGGTGATACCTTCACACTGTGTCATAGTTCCTTGTTCATTGATCAGGCGCCGAGTTTTGCCTCCTGTCTGAGCTGCTCGATTTCGTGTCAATCCGCCCTGAACCTAGGTGTTAAAAGGCCTGTGCACCTGTGCTTTAGCGTTAGAGCAACGTGTCTCCATGCTACTAGGCGGACCTCTCTGTTTCCTGTGGTATTGCAGTTTGAGTATACCTTGTATTTTGAGTCTTTGCTTGCTCTTGTTGTTTTCAGTGTTCCCTTCCTGCTGTGCTCTTGCATTCCCTCTGTTTTCTGTCCGTGTACCTCTTTGGTTTGCTGTGGCTATGAGTTCTCTCCACAGCATTGTTTTCTGCTCTGTTTGTAATTGTCTCCTGCTTCCTGTGGTTATTTAGCTCTGCACTATTGTGCACCTCCCTTCTTTCTCTTGTGCATTCCCCTCTGCTGTTCCTGTGTATCTCTTGTCTCTGTGGGTACACATATTGTGTGTTCCCTTTTGTTACCTGCTCCCTGTGTCACACATGTTCCTTGCGTCTTCCCTCTAGTGCCTGTTTTCTGTACCTTGTATCCTGTATGCACCCTGTGTCCGGTCCAGTGTGCTGTGCTCCCTGTGTACCCGCTGGCACTGTGCCTGCATGGGTGTGTCAGGGAGCCGTAACCTGGAAACTGCCCCGCAGCTCAACATCCACACCATCAGTGGCTCTGGTGAAGACAAGGCAGCTCCTCAGATCCTGGGACTCTGGCACACCTACGTTTGTTGTGCGGTCACACTATCCCTGAGTTTACAATTCTTGGTGCTCCAGTGCGCAAAACTTGAGACACCGTAACCCTTCAGAGTTATTCTTGACGAGTGCAGGATTGGACCCTGCTGTAAAATGTTCAACTTATATGCA